GCTTTGGGTGGGATGACTGAAAATCAACCTCACACTTTTCTTCATTTGCTGTACAAAGTGACGTTTAAAGCATTGGCGGGCTCTTTGAAAACACGAAGTGAACTTTACCACGTTTCTGACATATTTGGCTCTCGTTGTGTGGTCTTTGTCAAATCCTTCATTATGAACCCTAACTCAGAGTAATTTAATGAATGTGTTAATTTTTATCGTTTCGAGGCTCGACGTTCGGTTTTGTGCTGCCGCTTTTGTTGTTATAGTAATTGAGGCCTTCCTGACGTAATTAAGACCGGACATCTCAGTTAAAGTACGGTTCTAATTGGGAAGCGCAGCTTAGTTGTGAGCAACGTGGTTGGAAACAGTCATACCCGCGGTCGATCTGAGTGCCAATTTCCATTCTATCAAGGCACAGTAATGTAGCGTCACACACTTCCCCCAAATGGCTTTCTTGACTCTGGACAAGGTGACTAGGCTTGCTTTCTCTAAAGTCAAGGAAGCAATTTCAAACACAGCCATGCTCATGCATCGCGACCCCAATGCTCCTTTGAGTACTGCTGTTGATGCATCTGACTCAGCAATTGGAGCAGTTCTGCAGCAATTGACTGACAACCAGCGGCAGCCGTTAGCCTTCATCTCGAGGCGGCTGCAAGACGTGGAAACAAGATACGGTACATTTGGTAGGGAACTCCTAGCTATGTACTGTTCTGTACGCCACTTTCGACATTCGGTGGAAGGTAGTGATTTCATTATTTTCACAGACCACAAACCGTTAACCTTTTCCCTCAGCTCGGCATCTGACAAATACTCCCCGCATGGCTCGCGACAGCTGGATTACATTTCCCAGTTCACGTCAGACATCCGCCGCATTTCTCGAGCAAATAACTCCGTAGCCAGTACACTATCACGAATAGCTTAGATAAATCATATCGAGGGCGTTGATCTCGTTGAACTAACCCGGCGTCGAAAGGAAGACCTTGAGCTGCATCATGAGTTGTCGTCCACAACTCTCAAGCTGCAACTCTGTCCGGTTGGATCAGACGAGGACACAGTTCTGTGCGATGTCTCTGCTAGTCAACCACGCCCAATAGCTCCGAAGAGTTGTCGATGCAACGTCTTCAATGCGTTGCACAAACTGTCCCATCCAGGTGTACGAGCCACCATCAGGCTTATCGCACAGCGTTTCTGCTGGCCTGGGATGAACAAAGACGTTAAGGAGTGGGCTCAGTCGTGCTTAGCTTGTCAAAAGTGCAAAGTCACGCAACACATGAAAGGCCCTTTAGGCTCATTTCTAGCCCCAGACATGAGCTTCGACCACGTCCATATAGATATAGTAGGACCCTTACCAGAATCTAATGCATGTACCTACCTTTTCACTTGTGTTGATCGTTTCACACAATGGCCGCAAGCAGTACCTATTAAGGATATTACTGCTGAAACAGTAGCTCACGTTTTCGTAGAAAGATGGATCGCGAACTTCGGATGTCCATCTTAAGTCACAACCGACCGTGGGCGCCAATTTGAGTGTGGATTATTCCGCGCTCTAACGGCACTTCTAGGTTGCACCCGGTTCCGAACGACAGCCTACCATCCACGGGTAAATGGCATGGTAGAGCGTTTCCATCGACAGCTGAAAGCCTCCCTTCCATCTGCAAACATACCTCAGTGGACCGAGGCTCTGCCTCTAGTCCTACTAGGTATTCGTAACCCCTTGAAAGTCGATGCTGGATGTACCCCTGCAGAACTCGTCTATGGGACCACTCTTCGTCTACCAGGTGAGTTTGTTTCTCCTTCAACTTTCGAACATGTTTCCGACAGGGCATCGTATGTGACCAGGCTTACAAAGGCAATGCGTTCAGTTAGGCCATCTCCGGTTAGACCTCAAAAGACTGACGTCTCCGTTCACCCCAGTTTACGAAAGACATCACACGTGTTTATTCGCCACGACGCCGTTCGCCGACCACCCGAACCACCCTACGAAGGGCCATTCAAAGCGATCAAGCGACACTAGAGATTCAACATAATTGAGCGAGACGGACGTGAAGATACTGTCAGTATCGACCGTTTGAAACCAGCTTATTTCGAAGGCAACCCCATTATAAGTGACGTTTCAGCCGGCCACAGCCGACCGACGGATAGCTCAATCATCAAAATTCTTGACGATGTGTCTGGTAATGCACAGTTACAGCAACCATCGGCGCAACAGAAAACACGACCAGGTCGAACCGTCAGGTTCCCGGAGTATTTGAAGTCGTCTTCAACTTAGTGGTGTGAAATAAGATGTGCCAACCATATTTTTTGAATTCAATATTCTTTCTCCAAGGCACTATTTTTCTTATTCACCAGCAATGAGAGACTCCTCGTACATTTCGCCTTTTCACATCAACTTTTTGTTACCATGTAATGAAACTTTAGAAGAAGGAAAACGGTGAGAATAAGCGTTAACTTTACTTCCGATATATTTGTACATACATAATTCCCATTTTTACGAAACGTTTTCATGGTATTAAAGACTTTTATTTATATTCCAGGTGCAACGAGCACCGGATGGAACATCAAAGGAAACTGGGGACCGCGATTCACTTTTTTTTCACTTGCCACGACACCCTAGAATAAGTTCAGACAACCAGGGGCCACCTCACGCAGTGAGCCCATCGGAAGAGTTTTACCAGTGGAGAAACCACCGGTGTTTTACTTCCGGCTGGTATCGTCTTAGGGTCATCACAACCCACTGGGTTCGACGACTTTCGACAGTCATGCTGACCCTGATAGTTTGACCGGAACGCTAAGCTGAAGGCACTCGGTCGGGCATCCTCGCCATTTGGCAAGCTGTCGTGTTACGTTGCACTGCTCGTATTCGACTCTCTAGCCAGTTAGTTGGGAAGCATCGGTATCTTTGCACAACCGTCGAAATATACTATTCCATCCGACTAAGCTATCGTGTCCTTCCTTGGTCTCGTACTCGTGTGTACGTAGTAAGTCCGAATAATTGGTGGTTGGTCTTTGAGTCTGTCAAGTTCGCCGCAGGACAAATCCTAAATTAACTATAATTTATCCTTTCGAATTCAAGTACACATCAGTTTGCAAGCGTGATTGCATAGTTATACCAGTTCGACCGTTTTGGCCATTAAAGCTTCATTGCTTAAAGATAATCGGCAGTTTTGTATTAGTAGAATCAATGTACAGTGCAGAATGAGATAATGGATGTCCAAGGTTTCCACACCTGTCGGTCTTCCACGAGGTCGAATTAATTTCGTATTTCCAAAAGGAAGAAATGTGAGAGAAGTATTACCAGAATAGTAACTCACCCCAAATGCACAGAAATGATAATTTATCGAAAATTGTCTTGTAAGCTGAAAGCAAAAGAAAATATATATATATATATATATATATATATATATGTATAACGATAACAGTCTGGTTAAACTTTGTAGTTACTAGGACTTCATTAATTCGTACTTTCGAGACAATGAAGAAATATGAGTGCAAAATGAGAAGGAGCAATTGGCGATTTGGCGCGCAAGATTCGCTACCGCTGTTACAAAAGGTCATTTTAATGTGGCTTTACAAATGCTTATTGTTACAAAAACGCGTCGGTCCAACGCATGAACGAAGCCTCAATGTTTCCAAAATTAGAAATACCGTTTTTCTGTTGTATGGGCTATATCGCACTGACCAATCAGCAAACGACAACTAACGCTTTATCTGACTCGCGCGAATTAGGAAATTTCGTGCATTGAATGTCACTACAAAAAGAAGTGGTTGCAAATAACACTTATATTTAATATGAACATAAAGGCTGCAGAGTTTGTAAATTGCGAGTATTTTTCGACAAGCAGCATAATAGTGGTAGTTTAATTTCACAAAAGGTTCGTCGGATGTGCAATTACTACGTTAGGTAGTAGTTTTGGAGCACATAGTTTTGTGATTGGATGAAAATACAAAGCTTCTGTACTTGCTACTGGTTGAAGAAAAATGTAGTTTTCCCGCAGTAGTTCGAATAGGTGGGATATCAGTTTCACCGTGCCTAATTTTAGAGCAGCATTTGCAGAAGAGAAGGAAAAACGAAGACGAGGGGATACAGAATTTCAAGAATAGAAGTATTTGGTAAAAGTGCCTCATGGAACCTATAAGAATAGCAGTCAACAGAGATTTTTATGAAAGGTAATAATTATGATAATTCTGCAAGTCACAACACGTCTTGATTCAAATGGCGGTATTACCGTCACATATGTGACTTCTACTGTAAGCATTGGCCAACTCTAATTCAGGAAGCTGTCGGAATTTTATTGATTAAAATCACTCCTATAGTAATGATGGCTGTCAGTCCAATACAGTATCAGATTATGATGCTAGAGATGCTATTGCCATCACGTCTGACACGAGGTCTTAAAGGGGACTGTCACATACCAGCCACCTAGTCGACAAGGCTACACCAGTTCCGACACTTAATCGATGTGGACGGAATCCAAAGGTGACTAGTTCACCAAATTTGATGTCCAAGTGTTCAACGAAAGACTGGGTCCATGTATGCTGCATTGAAGCGTGTTTTCAATTCTGAGTAGCTCTAAAGGTCACGTTTCAATGATGGATAGTAGCTAACAAGTAGACTTATTTGCTATACAAAAGGTACTTTCTCAAGATAAAGAGATCTAGGTAGTTATTCAGAGGTTGTTAGGGTGATCTTTAAAGTGATTCGATAATTTTCGGAAAGGATATGCCTCTGTTCAGCAAGTTTTTTTTCTAACGTTGGTATGGAGGTGATAATTGTTAATCAAAAGTCTATATTATCCCGTATCAATCATTTCTACAGTTGATTGTCTGTCTTTTTGAAATCGTTTATTGGTTAGTCACGTTGTAGCGATCATAAACAAGGATTCATTTGTCTTCCACGTGAGAAAACTGACTGCATGTAACCTTTTTTGGTGAAATATTTGGAACTTCTAGTTTCTTCTGAACTCTGATTTTTATGAGCCTGTTGTACGCCAAAATAACTTTCTTTTTAGTCGGTAGGAAAAGCGAATGAATCTTCTGAATTGTTGGACGACTATATGAGATGTTATTTGCATGGTATTACTGTTTTATGTGACCTCCTGTATGAATCGCGAACGAAAAGTGCCGTCGATCTTTTGCGTAGCTATATTAACCCTGTAAGTCAAGTTTACTTGATGTACATTTTATTTACCTTTCACTATTTTTTCAGTCTCGCTATTGTGCACTAACAAGCTATTTAATCCTGTTCATTATTAATTCGTGAGATTTTCATTTTCGGCTTGAATTTCATCTGATTCCGTAGTTGTTCATAGATTTAAGTTGAGGTTTCAAATGACTTTAATGATTGTATCATAATCATCATTTTCAAGCACCTACCTGTATACCTCACGATTGGCTTATTTTTGCTCTCGTAAAGTGTGAACAATCTTGCCTTGTTCTGGATTACTCTATTTCTCTTGTGATTTAACAGTTTCTTTTAGTACATTGACAACCAATCAATATTTTAATGTACAACTAGAGCAACCATCTACAGTTTTCAGATGTAGCTTCTGTTTTCTCATCCTGTAATCATTGTAACTACTACATTGTACAACTGTTGCATAAGCGTGGGTAGCTCAATTCTCTACCCTAAAAACTTGAAGCTTATTACCTGTAATTGTACAAGATGAGCTACTGATACTACATTGTTGCTGCATATTATTCACCCATGTAGTATGCATCTTGAAGCTAGTGCATTAAGAATCGAATTAAAAAATACAGAAACTAACCAAAATTTAGTAGAATGCTGGGCCGCTTTTTGAAGTGAATGTAAACGTAAAAACTATTTTATGTATAAGTGCCCTGAAAAATTACGCTGAATAATGTAGCACTCATGATTCGGTAAACTTGGTTTGTTGCAGTGAAGTTTTATTGTGAAATCTTATGCCATCTGAATGTGCTAAGGATATTTAGAGGAGAAAAATAATTTTTTGTTATTTTAGTGGCTACACTTTATTTGGTTCTTGTGATCTGGTTGTATTATCTTACCATCCATTCTTCTCAATAATTTCATCTTTAGGCTATAGCTCTAGCCCAACGTTTAAGTGTAAACCTGAATGCCAGTGCTTATGCGACTTTGGCTAAATATTGTGATGCACAGTTTACTGCCTTAGATGCTTATTTAACTTCATCTGAGTTTGCAGCAAGACGGAATTTCTTGAAACAGGCTCAAAAGAACGTTGTTGATTTGTCAAATTTAGGTGAACAGAGGTAGGTATCCATTGAATTCTTTTGTGCACGATTGTTTTCATAAACTTTCTATTTTTCTGCATTTATGATGGATGTTGTTTATTTATGGGAACGAAAAATCTATTACAACAATTTTACGGAAATCTAAATGCCACCTGTAATATGTAATATGGTTATAACGACGTAAAAAAGCACCCGACAAAGAATTAATTGTGATGAGAAGTTAGTTCATGTGTTTAGATTTCTAATTCATTAAAATTTTGTGTTGCATCAAAAACTCCACACAGTGTCGGCAAGTCTAACTGGTTTCACTAGAATGCTGCGGCCAGTTCACTTTGCACAGTGGCTTAAGGAAGGAAGAACGCCTGTTTCATTTGCCACTGAGATCTGCCTTCGTTTCGTAGTGAGTGATTCAATACGGGTAGCAAGTGCACGCATTCGTGTGAACCAGTTTTGTAGTACTTGTCTGCCCTTTATCAAGTGAGAGCAGTAAGAAGTCTTTTTTCCGTTCATTTTTTATGAATGTCGCACTACACCATATTACAACTAGTGATCTTCCCACCAAGCGACTGGTATTCAAAGACAAGGTCACGAAAAACTGTCAGTTTTTCGTGCTGGTAAGTTCAATTTTTTGTATTTTTAATGTGTTCATGTAAAGTTTAAAATACGTAGTGTGTTTTGTTATCATTAACCACTCTATTAAAAAGAATCCCAGTCTTGGTGCATTTCTGGACCTTAAGACTCAACATGTCGTACAAAAGATCGACTTAGTTGTTTTCATTCATGAATGCGAGGCGAACCAGTAGATTCCGTCACTATGTATCTGTTGTGGTAACAAACGTCTAGTTGTGATTTTTCAATGTCTTTTAGAAGATCAGGGTTGTTTATCAAACGTAATGGTATTGCCCACTTTTATAAGACCATCATCCTGTAATCAGCCAGCTGAAATAGTCTCCTTCATAGCATACAGAGGTCTTTCTTAATAACTATTATTCAGATTAAAGCTGTATGTTATGTCTGTCGTATGTTACTTAGACTATTTCTTGGTGCAATATCAAGAAAACAACTGTGAATATCAGACTGCAAATGCATTTGTCTACTGCTGTATTCTGTACTCGTGTATGAGAAGTAGATATGCAACCACTACTCATACCTCTATCCTTCTATAATGCCTACATTGTTGATGGAAGATTGGTTATATATATAAATAATTGAACATGCGTTATGTACAGTTAGCTGCTCATTTCTGATCAACCATCCATTAATCGTAAACAATATATATAGACCACAACGAGTATAGATGTAATGAAATTTTTTTGTTTATCTTGATATAAATCTTGGTCTTATCACCTTCAATGTTTCTATTTTAGTTCTGTTGTACATAAGTAAAACCTGTGCTACTTTTCTGTATTTTACCCAGTCGATTATTACGATTACTCCAACGTCAATCAGCTCTCGAAGATATTGAGTTAACTGCACTGAAAAAAGATGCTGATCATTTCTTAGAAGCAGCAGTTGATGCATATGCTAAATCCTTACCTTTATCGGATGACCATGATTTGACGGTATGTTTTACTAAGTGCAGTTGAAATTGTAATGCGAAAGTTTTTCCTCATCGTTTCCATACTATTAGCTAATAAAAGTAGTAGTGTGTGGTATTTTAAAATACCTGTTTACACCGTGTCATGATAGCTCCTGATATTTGTATTATAATTATTACACACATCAGAGTAAACTTGGCTGCTTTTTTAAATTTAAATCTTGGTATGTGGCAAGTTACTTCTATAGAATTTTTGAGTGAAGTATTTTTCACCTGTGGAGCCGCCGTCATATCCGACTGTATATTGAGGGTCACATGTACCGCACAGCAGTTCGCTCTGTTCTACTGTATGTCTGTGAATCATCACTATTGAAGGTGGAAGACATGAGAAGACTTCACGTGTTTGATCACCGTCGCCTTCGTAGTATAAGCCGTATTCCGTGGTGTCACCACGTGAGTAATGCAGAAGTCAGGTGTAGAGTTTTAGGGCGAAAGAGGTAAGTCAGTTGACGAGATTGTGAACTTTCATCGACTGAGATGGTTGGGACACGCGTTACGTATGTCTAGTCGCTGATTGCCTCGTCATACAATGTTGGCCGAAGTAGGTTCAGGCTGGCCCGAGGCCCGATGCGGCCAGATCAAAATATGACATCGATGTATGAAGTCTGACTGTTGGTTTGAACCATGTGGGGCGATGCGGACTAGCCGGTTGGGGTCTGCGGGACAAAAGGAACCAGTGAGTGGTTGCAGAATCTAAGTGATATGGCTCAGAACCGTTGTCAGTGGCTCGGATGTATACACGCACTATCCTCATCTTGACGACGCTATACTGAATCTCACCATTTTCTCATTCTTCCTTTCTCTCTTTTAGTACTTTATGTTTTTTTTGACTGAATTTTCTTTTCTTCATCTTACACTTCACTGCCTTTTTACTTGATGTATTGATATGAGGTGTGGCAACTCGGACCGTTACTCAGTGATGCATGGTCCTACATTGATTCGGATGGATAGATAATGATTTTTCATTGTAAACACATTTTGACAACCCAGCATAAAATTGATTTGCTGTCTTGTAGAGCTTCGAATAATTGGGCACCTGAAACTACAGATTTGTGATCTTTTCTTTCTGTATATCTTTGTGGTTTTCTCTAATTCTGTGGAGTTCCACTGAAGTCACCTGTGAGTTATTACGTTGTTATAAAAAGTATCACTTACTCACCTAAATCATTAAAGTTGTCTCGTTCAATTGGTAGCAGTTTTATGTAGTTCTTCATTGTTCCGAGTTATTACTCCTTATTTTTTTTCATGCCACCTTTCATCCCAGATCTTCCGTCTTATATCTCTATGGCTTTCCGCAAACAGTTCACCGTATCCAGAGAGAAGAGAGAATGTCAATAAAGTTCTGTCGGAACAATTAACGAAAATTGAAGCGCACAAATTTCTCCCGCTGGTTCCTCAGTTAGTTGCCCGGTTGTCAACTAATAGTGAAGGTGAATCATCCTTCCAAACTATCTTGACAAAAGTGGGTGTCTACATATTTTTTCATGAAATTGTTGACCTAACGGCTTATTTTCTTGCACATCTAGTTGTTTCAACCTTTTTCTTGTGGTGTAGGTTTTCCCGTAAGTTGAATTTCTCACCTATCTTGTTGAGAAAGTTCACTCTTTTGAAAAGATAGAGGAATCAACGTATAACCTGATTCGAATGTCCACCGGTTCAATTTACCACACTTCACAGTAGTACACAAAGAAATGAGATTGATATTCAGGTTAACAGAAAAATTTGAGCGAATAGAACAAATCGATGAAGAATGATGAAAATATTCAAGACTTTCAAGAGTGGTAATCATAAATATTGCGATCGATTTTGAACCATATCACCAGGAATCCTCAAGTATTGATTCCTGTAGTCTCGAAGAACCAAATCAGGCTATATCCGTCTTCCTACGTGGCACAAACCAACAATCAGAGACTTCGTGAACCGGTGCTACGCTCTGAATTGGTCTTTGTCGCTGTTCTTCACACTCAGCCTCACGTCGAGGCAAGTGGTGCTTCAGCATGCGCAGTACGTGTTCATACCATCTTAGTCGGTAAAAGTTCACAATTTAATTGACAGATTTGGTTGCCAGGTTTAACGTCTTATGTTTAGGCTCTTCATTGCTCTTACTGTAATTCCACCATATACGAGCAATGCTACAAAATCGATATCTGATTTTGACTGTCAAGAATGAAGTGGAGTACTGGAACAGTACACCCGTCCTTCGATGCATAGTGGAGTATTTTTGCTTGCTTTGTATGAAGTATTTTGTCAAACTTTGAACTCATTATGGTATCCAAAGTATCCACCTAAATTTGATATTGATCAAACTGACTCCTTTGTTGTTACGACTTCAAGACTTACTTTTTTTTCGCATGACTTCAAAGATTAAAGGAGATCTGCTTGAGGTCGATTTCACAGTTATTTCGGAAGTTTTATATTTCATCATGATGAACTCAGTCTATTATAACCCATTTTGTCATCACAAAAATACAACAAAGGAAAAAGAGTTGTGCTATTCCTAGGGACAAAAGAAGAGAAAGTTCACATACAATGCTGATCATCTGCAATTGACACCTTATTGTTGTCATACAATACAGCCAGAAAAAGCAACCTCGCTCTCAAGCTTATATCTTCGGCTGAATGGATGCGGTTCACAGTAAAACTACTCATCTAAAAGAGACCTGACGTTAGAAAGGTCCAGTGAATCTCAGCAGCTTCTTCCGAAGTAATGGATGCATGCGTGCGCACCCCTGAAGCCTCCAAGGACAGTGAAGAGCAGAAGCAACGCAAATGTAGACTGGTACATATTCCCACTGGCCTCCATCTACTGTTCCATTCCCCGTTATCCAATCGGATCATGAATGGAAATTAGAGATAAGACCCTGGAAACTTACAGAAGTTGAGGAAGCTTTAATTAGTGTGAAACAAGGAAGGGTAACAGCCAAACCAACTAGTACCACAGGTAATTAAGGACTATTGGATTATTGTTCATGTTAACTGAAGTATCAGCTCTTGAGTGGGAGTCAAATGTGATCTCTGACTGGTCTCAGTTTTCAAAAAAGGGGGTAAGTCCTCCCAGTATTAACCATCCCGGGTAATCAATCTGATAAACTTAGTGTCTAAGATCCTAGACTTTACAATCACTAGGCACCTGAGTGAAGATGATAATGCCTGCAATTCGGCAGGAGACTGAATATTTTTGTGGGTGGTGGTGTATCAGTTAGATGTTTAGACTCCATGAGGTACTGAAATATACTTTCGCGAGCAGCTGGCACTAGTTGTATTTGTTGACAGGTGGCCTGTTTAAACCTTGGGCTACTAAAAAAATTTCCACCAGATATATTGCATCAAATTTCCTCCTTTTAATTTATCTTTTAAACGCTCATGTACTTTTGCATACTTTTAAAGTGGTTCCAAACTGCTGCTTCCCCGGCTAACAACAAGATAGAGAAGAAACAATACGCCGGTAAAAGATGGGCTTATAAATGCACAAAAATACAGTACATTACTATTCCTTGGATAACTACGTCGAATCGCAGATTTTGGTACTGCCTGAATAAACCTCTACCTAAATTACGCTTGAATTTCTGTTCATTAACTAGTCCACACCAGACACTAATGTTATGCTGGGTGCCTGTTTCACATTGGCTTTTATTACTGTTATTATTAGCACTATTCAAACATAATGTCTATTTCTCTTAAACATATTGTACAGGGAATGAATTTGTTGAACTGTTACTTGCTGAGAATTCCATACTGTACCATACATGTTGTTTGGAATAAAGTTAATATTATTATTATAAAGGCGGCATTGAACTTCATCGATTGGAAAGTCTCATGACAGTGTCTCTCAATAACAAGCGTGCACAGTAATCACATCGTCCCGTCAAGGTCTCTGCACTGGAACACCCGTGGTCGTGTTAGACCCTATGGTGGGTTGTTGACGTCGAATGATATCCGTCAAGGATGTCCATTTTTACTGAACTTTATCGTACACTTGTTATGGAGATGTCTCCCTCTCACCGTCTGACTTCATGGGACTTGGTCTTATCACAGGAGAATACTCGGTTGATCTGGAATATGCAGGCAGCATACTCCTGTTGAATGGAAACTTTGATAAAATACAGTCTTCTGGAAACCTTGAGCAACAATTCAAGGATGTTCAAAATGCGTCTTTCGTCACCCAGATTTAAACTGTTGCCTCGGTTGTACTGTCTAACAATTGGGAGGTAAACATTTGAGTACGTTGACCACTTCACTTACCTGGAAATTGGGACTAGCCCTGGTCGATCAGTGGCTGACAAAATCTCTGCATGAATACAATGGGTTGGCTTGACTTTCGCCAGCTTACATCATTTATGGTACTCCTGTGATATTCGATTATTTATTGAGAATCGAGTGTACTGCACTGCAGTTTTCTAAATTCTACCGTCTGACTGTAAAACATGACCAGTGAAAGTATAGGGCATGCAAAGGCTTTTGTTTTTCGACCACCGTCGCCTTCATAGCATAGCCCTTGTGTCATGGTGTCACCGTGTCAGTAATTTAGAAGTCATCTGTAGAGTTTTGAGTAGGAGATGAAAGTTAATCAATGAGACTGTGCACTTTTAAGCGATAAGGTAGTTAGGAAATGTTTCACTCATGTCTAATTACCGTCTGCCTCGTCACTCAATGTTAGCTGAAGTAGGCTCAGACTAACAATTAGTTAGAGGTTCCCAGACTGAAACATGGCGTGAGTGCATAAAACCTTTTGTTTTTGATCTGAGCCGTGATATGGTTCAGAATCGGCCTTAGTGGCACAGTTGTATACCTACTTTATCGTCATCTTATTCGTCGGACTGAATTCCAGTACTCTCCTACTCTTCCTTTCTCTCTTTCGAAAACTTTCTACCACATTTGACTGCTTCCTTATTTATTTCTTGATGTGTCATCTGGATGCTTTCTCACTCGATTTGCTGACATTGATTAGGTGTGGCGAATATATCTGCTACTTAGTAATGCTAGGTCCAACAATCAACATAGTTGATTTGTTTTCAAACAGTTTTTGCGTTCAATGAGTAATTGTCAGAAAATTTGTTGCAGAGTTTTGATTTATGGTAACTGATCATCTGCGTAACACCTATGTTCACTCACTTTTTATCCAAATGCTTTTTAAAGTGTCTACTGATTAGTAATTTGCTTCAAGTAGATCTCACTCGTAATACAACCATTGTAATGCTATCTACAGTATCTTAACACCAATTCGTCAGCTTATTACCGACAGCCATCGTTGTAGTTAGTTTTTGGCATCAGTGCCATGGGACTCATGAACAACCAGTGATCATTATCAAAGTTGATGAGACCCCTACCCCCACAGGTAGTGCGTAACTCATCGAAAAACAGTTAACAGTGATAAGCAGAAGCATTCACTGTCTTTTTTTTTTAACTGATCCTTCCCCTCATGTTTGGGAAATTTCGACTATTTGATTTGTTTCATAATAATCTTATAATGCTTTTACTTTTCTACTTGTGAAGCTAATCATACGAATAGTCGATATGCATCCGCACCACTCTGCATTTGCTATACTGTTTCTTATCAATGCCGAATTGGATTATTTCTACAGTCAGACACCAAAAAGTTCTGGTCGCCAGCTTCCCAACCCTACGAATTCATCCAAAGTATATAAACAGCAAATTAATGAGGTTAGTTGATTATTAACTTGCATATTCAGTGTTTACTACTTGATTAAGAATCTGCAATAATTGACTGTTCAAACCATCATTGTGAAGAAAGTAACCCCCTTTTTGCATGTAACATACTTTTGATAATTCGGTTTGACAAAACCGGTAAAAGTGACGAAAAACGAATAGTAGTAATGATAATAATATATTTAGTTTATTCCAAACCATAATTATGTTTACAGTACAGATTTCTCAGTATATGATACCCCATTAGTTTACTCGTTGTACAGCAATTTTCATATATATATATATATATATATATATATATATATATATATATATATATATATATATATATTGCAAAGTTGATTGATAAGACTAAGTCTAACATGATTACTTCACACAATACATAGGCTTAATAAGGTATGATTGAATTTTCGTATACAGTGCTCACATAGAGTTTAATATATTTGCTTCTTGCCTATAGTATAATAAATTATCTTGGATGATGACTATAACTGTACGTGATAAAGATTCAGTCGAGGTGTAGTTATCGTCTAGGTTTCCTACTTGCTTTGGTAAAATACTGACTCATCAGTCTTTAAGTCTTTATTTGAAATCCTGTTTCGGACTATTGTTTGAATTGGTTGCAGTCATATAGTGTTCGTATAAACCTTCGATATTTTTTGGATGTTGGTATCTGCTGCTCTTTCTCTTTCCTTTTCTAAAAGTTATGTCAGGGCGACTCTTATTCAATCTAGGGAAATACTTTTGTTTAGTCATCGTGTGGATATACGCTTGCTTGCACAAACCTTCGGGAATTATGATTGCCATACACAATGTTGGTTTTCATCGTGTTAGGTGGCATGTTATGCTCGTCGTTTAACTACTGACAAACAGTAAAAATAATTACTTCGTTTTATCCTGCATATTGATTTTATGTAATTTTTTGAAGTAAATCACCTGAATCGAAATTTTTCACTTATTAGTGTGCTTTTAATGCGCTGTTATTAACTGATTTTCCTCCGCTTCCTATTTACTCCAAGGCATTACATTTGACAGGTGGTAGGAGGTAACTTGAACTCTAGTCAGCAACTGTTAACAGCAATATAGATGAACTGATTCAGTGCTTCTAAAGTTTTTTACATAAACTGAGATACAATGCCTTTGATATCTGAACCAAAATATACACTGGTTTGTATAATCGGATCGTTAGCAGGCAGCTAAATATCCAGGTTTTTATGGTAACCTAGTTCTCAGTTTAGCTGTGATTCGAAGTTTCGTACAGGCTTAGTAGTCTTTATAAAGGTAATATGAGGCAGAATAGACTACTAAATCAATTGAATTTTTCGATGTACTAGAGATTATTCCTTATTGGTGTAATTTCAAGAAAACATAACCTAGCGTAATCACAAAAATAGGAAGTATTTTATCCATGAATAAAGGCAGAAGAACGACACAATATGTTGTAATACTTAAGCAGTAAATCGATGTTCTTGGCGCTTTCTAAACGTTACCAAACCCACTGTCATGTGCAGCTTTTATCAGCAATGAGTTGTCATATTTGTCTTTTAGGCATCTGTGGGGTCAAGTTGCCGCAAAACGGCTGCTCTAAAAGTCTTTGACCAGTTATGTCGTGGTCGACGTGGAGAACTTTTAAGGCAAATGCAACGTTTAGCTCAAGCTTACATAGATTTGGCAAATACGAAGGTTGACAAATACAAAACAAATGCAGGTAAAACATTGGATCTTTTGGTTGTTTGTTGATATTTTACAAAACGGTTTCCTAGACTCCTTTTAGTGTAATCTATTGGGCAACAATTATTTCTATTATAATTTCACTTCAATTATTTAACATATTTTTCTTTTGGTGTTGTACATTTTCTGTACCCTGGCTTTTCGCGTTCGAATTATCGATCCTCTAAACCTTATGTGAACTGTAATCAAGGTTCGACCAAATAGTGTCACAAATATTGGTCGCTGAGTAAAAGGCTGATACTAGATATAGTTTGTATTTGTGTTTGTCACTGCTTGTTTGAAATGAAATGACTCCAGCGTTTCGCTTAAAAGTCTGGTCCGAGCTTCTTCAGAGAAAAAGTTTTATTTGTCTGGAGAAGCTTGGACCAGGCTTCCGTGTAAAAAGTTGGAATCATTTCATTTCAAACACGCTGTGACTTACACGAATTCGAACTATATCTAGTTTTATACCTTATTGAGCTTAAATTTCACCTGTCCAATCTAGTGTACTGTTCAGACAGTACATCAGTTTTTTCGTTTTTCCCGTCCAAGCTTTTCAGTTCAAAATATAATGGATGCTTAAAAGCTCTGTGATCATTTCTCATACCCTAAACCACTACTTGTGCCTATTCCCATTATTTCAGGTGATTAGAAGTTTCATGCAGAGATTTCGGAATTCACTCCTCCCACTTTTCATTTAAAGCATGTATGTCGACTGGTTCACCTTTTCATAAGTGGTCGTAAACATCTTATCACGACTATTGAGATTTAATTCTGATTCTCACCTGTTTAAAAACAGTCCTTAGAGTATTTAGATATTTTTAGCTTGTCAGCAATATCTTGTCGCTTTATCTGAAAAGTTACTTGTCTTGTTTAAATGATCTGAAAATGAGACACGCTGATCTTGAAGTCTTCGCTTATGCTGATCAACCTATAAACCCAACAATAAAATTCCCAGAACTTAATTACCAAAATGTTCAACTAATGGTATTGGTTAATCATTTCCAGTAGGTGTGTTGGAAAGTTTGTCAACAGAACTACACCTAAAGATTGGGTATCAAGGTATTTTGTAACAGTAAATAAAGTTCGAATGCTGTTTTGTTACAGTGTGCGATGAGATTTTCCAAATGTTTCAAAGAAGCCGTAAATCTCTTAAGGCTTACGAAACCAGTCATTTTGCTTCGGAAATTTGAGAAAAGGTACCTCATCCTCCGTGCTAAAGAGGAAATAACCATTGTGGTGGGTAATGTAAAGTTAAGCTGCGACCTAATTGGTCTACACACTTGGCTTCTAGTTGATAAGCCTCGAGTTGTATTTCCACCCCACTTAACCGGGGTCTGGGCAGCGGTGTGGTACCATTAGACTGCACGCCGTGTGGCTCATTGCTTACCTCATAAAGTGCACATAGGTGCTGAGTGCGCTTCAGTTTTCCATTTGGATGCTGAACAAGTTTCCGTTCCCACAACTGTTGCAGACAGTTCGGAATTCAGGGGTTGTATAGCGAATGCCAGTTGTAACTGCTAAGCGACAGAAAAAACTCAATTCTCATCATTTATGGGCCTCTATGGGTCTTGTTTTTTTTAATTCAAGTATTATGAAGTTCTTTTCATTTTCAGATAGCATTCCACTTCCGACTGGATGCGAACTGTATCGTTTAATATCGCTGGGTTCGCATAGTTCTCATCGTGCTGGGGATTTTCAACTTGGACTTGTTACCGTGCCAACTTGTAATGTTCCTATAGACCGTTCTGGGCACTATCCAGATTCAAAAGCCACTCGTATTGCTGGTTTTTCTCCAAAATTTCGCCTTGTTGGCGGAATTAATAGTCCTATACTCATCAGCTGTTTGGGTACTGATGGGAAAATCTATCGACAGTTGGTCAAAGGTAATGATGATCCAAGACAGGATGCGGTCATGCAACAGGTTTGTTCAAAAAATATATCTGAGTATTCAAGTGCTTCCCGTTGTCTTCTTCCTACATTATTTTTGAATTGAAATCTGTCTCTGAATTCCTAACCCAGTTATTTGGTCAACCTTCTCAACCACTTAACCGTTTTGAAAATGAAGTACAAAACTAGATCAGTCCTGGAGCAATAGTTTACACTTGTGAGATGAGAATCGCTTCTTCTGTTTTCTTAATTTTTAACTATCGATCATGCCGGCATCTTCACCTAACATGGCTGTATCGTCTGCGTATTGTATATCTGTGGTAAGATCATGCTAAGTCAGACGAGAAGGTGACCTCTGTAGCCGACTGTGTGAATGAAGAGAGTGACGTACGCAACTCAACTGACTCCTCAGCATAGGCTGTAACACACCCACAGATGTTTGAATATGATGTCTTTTGAAGAGTGATGTGACTTATTGCCAGTCGTTTCAATGACAGAAGCCATTATTGGATGTTTCGATTAACGTAGTCGCAGTTAGTGTTGACCGCAAGTATGTTTGCGCTTGAAGATTATTCGTTTAGTGGTGATCGATGCACCCCAAGCATCGAGTGACTTGAATCTGATTCCTCTGTCATTACAAGAGGAGGATTTGTATCTCTTCATGAAAACTGGGATAGTCAATGATGGGTCTGACTCAGAGGAGATCGTATCTGATTCCCACAAACCAGCCAACGCTTCGGTTAATGTAACCACTAAACGTCGGTCACCATCCTTTCTGTCTCGACTTTTTTGGTAAGTCTAAATAGGTGTCCACTGTTACCTATCGTCACTGACCTTTCCATTTCTTTCTTTATTCTTCATTGTCTTTTCTCACGGTGATTTCGTAAACTTTTTCCAGTCTACAGTTAAGTTATTTCTGTGCCTCATTGTGCTTGAAGCTTGTAGGAATGCATTCATGTGCTACTGAATTTGTTTTTTTCCACAGCAAACTGGAAATAGCATTGAGCTTTTTCAGGTTGAATAGCGCTGAATAAATAATTTATTTGTACACATGTATTTTAACAGGGCGGTAGGAACCTTGTCTTTCAGATCTTCATCGTTCGATATTTTTGTCTACTGTTTGATACTGGATCAGTAAGATAAATTCATGAAGTGGGTTTTTTGTCAGACTTCTGTGGTCATTCTTTCTGTATGGTAGTATCCGCAATGTCTTCATTCATGTAAGATCATACAATAACATTTCTAAGTAGGTATTTTTCCGATTGTTATTTATTTACTTAACTTGTAGGTATTTACCGCTGCTAACCTTTTGTTAGGGCAGTATGAGAAAATCAGTTCCGGTGCGTCGCTGCAGTGCTCGACTTCCCTCATCAATGTACCCAAATATCGCGGTAACTGGTTGTATGTGAATAATGGGCTTTGTATACGCACATATAAAGTAAGATATTTATTCCAATCTATCCACAATTTTTTTCTGGTTTTGAAGTGAAATGTAAAGACGCTATTTCTCACAGTTTTCACCCACTTTGTTCTTCTTATCATTATTATTATTATTTATTGTCACCTCAGGTTGTACCGGTGTCTCAACGCTGTGGTGTCATCGAATGGTGCGAAGGTACAGTACCATTGGGTGAATGGTTGGCCAATGAGCGTTCTGGTGCTCATCAACGTTACAGACCACGTGATATGTTTCCAAATCAAGCCAAACAACGTTTAGCAGCAGTTAGAGACAAGGGGATTGATGTTAAATTAGCAGTATATAGTGAGATATGCGAAAAAACAAAGTAAATACTCTTTTTATTTGTTATTAAGTATGTAAATTGCCGCTCCCTCTGGAGTTCCTGTTTGGATACCAATCTGAAGTGACAAGTAAATAGTAAGAAATACGGTAACGATACTAGCACGGTGAGACTCTTCGACCGAATGAGGTTAGCGACTGTTCTCCTTTAGTACCTTACTTCACTGAACCAAAAAAATATATGGCAGATAAAGAGAGTGGTCTGTGACTGTAAGGAAGACACTTTATTCGACAATACACATCATTTATGTACAGTTTTCATGAACACATAAGACCACTAGATCAAAAGTTAAATGGCTTGTTGTATTGGTCAACTGTAGGATAAATTGTCCAACAAGGTTTTCCTGGTCACAAAATGAAATGAAGCAAAAATAGAAATACGAGCACCGCCTTGTTTGCTGGTGTCTCAAAATGTTTAGGCCGCTTCCTGTCACTATCACGTGTTGGTTCGAGCATGCGTATTTCTGCACTTAATTGGACGTAGAAAAACTGCAGCTGCAAGAATGTTCCAAGCGTCGCTTAGTGATGAGAATACTAGTGGCTCTTAGAATAACTGACAAAATCAACATAGAACTGGCTAGATATTTATCCGGACTGGACAGTATCAGTCATCTAGAAGAAGCCTTGGACAAAATCGAAATTTCTACAAAAACAGGTGAATTGCGTGATGGATTCAGAAAGAGTTGGTGAATATCAAAAGCTTCAGCATTAAAGGGTGATCTAGATTGACTTCCCTCAAGCTCAAAGCACAATGAGGAGCGAAATCAGGCAACAAAAAATAATGGAAAGTCTAAGATGAGTGAGAATAATGCGTGGAGATTGATATATGTCGACTGAGAATACGCCTGAAAAATAAGTAATGTACATATTTGTGGCTTGGCATTTATGGTCTCCATCTACTGGTAAGTACAATATCAATGATCCTTGTCGAAAAAGCCTCGTCTGCTGATTATCTCCATTAATTGAACTCTGATTAACACCTGAACGACTGTCGGGATTATCATTTAAATGGGTTTCGATAAAAGTGATGTTTTGCATATACCAGCAGTAGTGTTCCTATATTTTCGATTGCCATATTGTGTCGCATATTTGTATATTATTTCATAGTAGAAAGAATCTCGTCTTCGAATTCGACTATCCTTTGTTCTACTGCTAACCACCACATACCATTAGTATCAAAATAGAATTATGGATAATATCCGCATATCCTCACAGAAGCCCATGTGTCGCTGGTGATTTATCAAAAGGGTTCAGAAAAACCAACAACGCAGCACAACATTCTACGACATTAATTATCTCATGTGTTCAAACAGTGTTTCACCTTCTGAGGTTAGAGCAACTAGGAAGCAACACAGTCTTCACGAAACGGGAGTGCATTAAAGTCTAGTAAACGAAATGACACGTGACTACTGAATTATTTCTACCTACCAGGTAGCGTTTCTTATGTATCTTAAAATTCAGCACCCTTTTAACGCATCTAAAAGGTTATGAGTCATCGTGTCAGATGCGATTTCAAAACTATAGGAATCTTTACTATTGCTATGTATGATTTTCTCGGTAAGGACGACTCGTATTCGTTGTGTCTGCAAAGGATTTGGTAACTTGTCTCTCAGAGGGTGTTTATAATAAGTATGATGTTGGTGTTAATAATAATAATAGCTTTATTCCAAACAATATGTTCGGTACAGTATGCAATTCTCAGTATATAATACTTTAACAGATTCACTCTTAAAACAACATGTTTAAACAGACTAATAATTGCATCTGAATGATGTTTATAGTAGCAATATTCAATGAAATGATGTAAAGCAACTGGTTACTATTGGATTAGCCTCCGGTGTTTGGTGATGGTGGTTCATTCAGCCAGTAGAAGAATGTGCTATTCGAGATAGGCATATGAGGAAGAAAAATATGATATGCATTCAAAAGTCCATTTCCGTCTAACACATTTTTCCTTCGTTTTTGTTATTCGAAAAACGGCTAGTTCAGAACATCTTAGGAATCCGAAAAAGTATGCGATACTTTTGCAGGACATATTTCAAAAGATTAAAACAAACTAAAAGGGGATAATTTAATTGAATGTGTCTGGTGTAAAATTTCATTGGTAACCCAAAGTTCAAGCAGGCCGCAGGATACTGTGCAGAAAAATCGAAAAGAACACCGTATCATGGTGAATATGAATTTGACATTATCACTGCTACTTTGTGAATAACCGTTAACATGTGATTTACTTGACTTCCTCCTATCACTAGGCCGGTACTTGCCTATTTCTTTTTGGAGCAATTTTCTAATCCAGCGGATTGGTGCAAAGCTCGATTGGCTTATACTCGGTCACTAGCTGTAACTAGTGTAGTAGGATACCTTGTTGGGTTAGGTGATAGACATCCGCATAATATATTATTGCACAAGTCTTCTGGTGAACTCGTTCACATTGATTTTGGTGTAGCTTTTGATCAAGTAAGTCTGTGTTGTTGACTAAGCATGAAATTTCATGCTTTTTGTTTTTGAATGACATTATATTATAATACTTAGGTTTAATTCAAATTCTTCATATATTTAACTGACAGCACTATTTCATGTATTCATAATGAATTCGTGCCAGGCAGAAACAAACAATATAGGTATTGGCTGAACTGTGCATGCAATGTTAGCCTGTCAAAGTGAATTTCAACAAGAGAAAGGAAGAAGAAATTACTAGAATGATATTTGCTGTTATGAGAGCCAATAGGCACAGGATGAATACATCTATGGGTTTCCAGTCGATTTTGTTACCTTGTTGATGCAGATCGCAAATCCTGTGTTTCCTTGTACACCTGAGATCAATTGTCAGAAATTTCACGGATTCATACCACGTTTTTCCACTGTGATCTTATTTTAGAATTCAGCTTCGAAGCAGATGTTAGTTTTGCACTCATAACACATATCCCAGCCATCTCAGTTCATGAAAGTTTATAGCTTCACCAACTGACTTAGCTTTCTTTCCCAGTACTTTACGCCAGATGTAACTCGACAAATAACTTCACACTACCAGTTGCTTTTTATCTATCTAAGCGAAGAAAATATCACGAAGTGTAGTTTTCTCACTTCTAGTTAAGTGTATTCTGAAAATATACGTTTGTAAAGCTATGTTTTATGGTTATGAAGTACGACTTCGCCCTCCAAGCCCCATCAGAGTGTAGTAATTTACATCATAACGGTAACTGCTTTTCGCGTTACCACTATCTAACAAACTTTTTTGGAACGGTAAGACCTCTAGGGAATAAGTGTTCTAGCCAGTGTAGCTCGTTGGGCTGTTATGATATGCCAGCTCTCCCTAAATATAGAACAGAAGATTGACAAGATGATTTCTACTTTAGTTACCATGATAACAACTGAAGTTAGGAACTAACTCGTTTACAGATGAAAATATCGTCTCGAAACGTCATCTCAGTTAGTCACTAACTAATTATTTCAAGGCTTATGCTTGGAATTTTTACTTTGCGGTAAATATGTGCTGTTGTTTTCATCGGTCTTAAGGTTCTCATTGTTGTCAAACTAAGCATATCTGGGTTTGTTCTAGTTCATAACTTTGTTGAACCTTTTCAGGGTCGTCTTCTGCCAACCCCCGAAACAGTTCCCTTTCGCCTAACACGTGACCTTGTCCACGCCTTAGGTCCTTTAGGTTTGCAGACAGGATTTATCCCAGCTGCCGAAGCCGTGCTGAGAAAACTTCGGGAAGGATCTAATGTTATTCTGACCCTTTTGCAGGTATAGTGGGTTTTTTTATTCTGATGGAAAATTGTTATCAGATTTTGATGAGGTAGGGGAGTAAATATATGACCTTGTGAAAACCTCTTCTTTAGAGATTAAAACATGTTAAGGCTATCACTTGCCTTTAAAATAGTGAGTGGAACAAATCAGAATCGACTTTCATGAGGTTGTGAAATTTACTCTTTTCTTTTACTTCTTTGAGATGTTAAGGATGTATATCGTTTATTAACACTTTACCTAGCGCTCAACGTATTTACCTATACCAATTTAAATTTCGATCCCGTTATTCACAAAATTATTTTGCATTCCTTCTAAAATCACTGTTCAACACATTTACCAAAACAAAACAGTGGTACAAGCATGTTTCGTGTTCATTCTTAGAAGGCCCAAAGGAAAATTTCATCATTTCTTGCCGAACAACTATTTTTTTGAGCTCATTCTCCAATCACATTTCATTTTTGCGTAAGTGTAGTTAGTTGGACTATCTGCAGCTGACTTGCAAGTTATAAATTCATGATTCCCATTGTGACTTTAAAAACAAGATATTCAACGAAAACGACTCTTTTCAACGAATTTATTCTCAAGCTGTACATTTGTGTATATATGATATTTAAAAACTGGAATCCGTGAGGAAGTTTAAACTTGAAAAACGGGAGATCAAAATAACAAAATGGTGGTTATCATAGTAATCTTGAGTGATAATAAACGCAGACAATTTGAGGATTATATCTCTGTTGTCTCAGAAAAACAGTCTCAGTTTGTCAGCTTGAAATATTCTGGTGCAACTTGAAAACCTAACTATTCAGACTTTCGATCTTGCGCCATCATCATTTCTAACACTTTAAATCAACTGTTCCTGACTTCTGTCAGCAGTTCACTAGTTCAAAATATAGTTCAAATCATCTGACGAAGGATCATATTGAACAACTCACGTCGCTCACTGATAATAGTGGCGTAATCTTAAGTCGTCCTGATAAAGGAAGGGGTTTTGTTCTGATGAGTCGTCGGGAACACGTCGACAAAATCCTGTCGAGTTTCTACGATCAGACTAATTTCGATAAACCTGAAGGTGAGAGGAATAGAACACAACAGATCGAGATCCTACCCACGGGTATCTTGAAAAAAATGAGGGATATTACGTTAGTTTTTCTGGTTCGTATGAGCGCATCCGACCTGGTGATTCAGTATTTCCACGTCCATATGAATTGCCGAAAATACTTAAAACAGGATTACCCCTCCATCCGATTTTGGATATATCAGGTTTTTTTATCATTATATCGTCCAGTTGTTAGGTGAGATACTGGGACCAGTCCTGTTATTCTACTCGTGATAAATTTTAGTTTATTGATAGTATTAGGATCGTTGACACCACGGTAAAGTCATGTTCTCCTCAGAAGTCACCTCATTATTCATCACTGTACCACCCACTGAAACCGTTTGTTGCATATGTGATTTCATCTATCCATATGATGTAGAAGTAGAAATTCCAACAAACTACTTGAGAAGAGCTCCTGTTGAGTTGTATTTTGAACGTGCAATTGGTTTCGATGATGAGATATACCGGCAACATGATGGGATTGTAATGAGATACCCACTGAGGCCTCTAATGGCAGACTGCTTTATGTCAAAATTGGAAAATTCTAATCTTAGCCAAACTATTAACCGTTTCGATATCTACAAAAGATACATGGATGATGAATTCGTTATTTGTGACTTAGATATCTATCTGGATGACGTGCTACACGACCTCAACAATTATCACTCAGCGTTGGAATTCACCGTAAGGATGGCATTGGAATCAGCTATTCTTTTCCTTGACGTGCTAATTATGAGATGTGGCAATGGAACACCAAAAAGATGAATCTACAGAAAACTGACATGGGACGGATAGCTTACTAATTTCTACAGTTGGATAAGGATCATGAGAAAAAAACTTCACTCACTCACTCAACGAATACGAAATATCTGTAACGGACTTTGGAAGTTGAACTTGACTTTTTAAGAGGTACGCTTGCAGAAAACGGTTATCCCAGCCTTTGATAAGAATATGCGAGAAAAACATGCAAAATCAGTCATCAACTCTGTTTCCAAAAAGACTTTTTTACGAATATAGAATTTAAATGTAATGTAGCTTCAGACATCGTGAAAAATCGTCTTTTAAGATCAATTAGTAGTACTTTTTCGCAGCTAAACTTCCTTTGACCTTCAGTAGTCGTAAATTGTTCTCCGTTTGTGTGAAAGACAATATCCCTCTAGAGGCCACTTCCATATGTATCTACCAGTTCACCTGCTCCTGTAGAGCAAGGTACATCGGTCGTAGTCAGAGATTGCTGTCAACACATACGAGAACATATTCCAGCCTGGTTTTATAAGGGTGAAAAGAAATGCATTAGAAGTTCTATCATTCATCATCTAATTGATTCCAACCACTCGATCGACCCGAATTCGATCAAAGATTTCATATTTCCTCTGTCTTCAACTTTTAAAAACGGCGCAGAGGTGTTGGCTATCCATGAACTGACCTATGTGTGCAAGATAAGTACATACAGTCTTTATCTCTACCTGGGCCTTAACTTGATTTAGTCTTGGTTTGTTTTGTTTCTTCCTTTTGTTTTTTAAACTTCGTTCTTTTTTCCATTAATAAAACATTTTCAGTTAACTTGTTTCATTCATACTACCTAATCTTTTGATTGTTTATTAACTCTACCATGTTTTCACTCCTTTTTAAATTATATGCACCTTATAACCGATTTAAAAAATCTTACGTCATCTCTTTGTTATCATTCAACCTTCACGTCAACGACTCGCAAGTTGTACAATTTAAACCAATATTCCTTCCAACTTAATGCTTTTTATCTCATCTAGCTCATGTTGATGTGGATCTTTCTAGATTGTGCTCTCTCACTTGATTTCTGTTAACACCGAAAGTGTGTCCTAACTGTATAAAACAGTCGTAAAACATATAGGCACAAACTTTACAGCTTACAAGAGATTTGCAGATAATTCAGTCGACTTTCTACATCACTGTGTAAAGATGAGCATTTATTAAGAATTCGCTTGTATTGTAACTGAGTGGGATTTCGAAAAATTTTCTGAGATAGATTTTGACCAAAGAAGTGTTGGATTTGGTTAGGACCCACCTCCCCGTTGATATAATCTACATAAGTTGCAGTCGTCTCAAACTTTGGCAGTAAAATTGATATATGAAAGACCAAGTTTTACTGCTCGTTTGAGTTAATTTTCGTTTTGGGGATTGAAATTACTAACAGTGTATACAGATGTTGCAAACAAAAAACAATTAGTTATTTAAAAAGACCAGTAAATTTCTGTATCACTAGATGTAAGATTACCGAAACCTATAAGGCAGGTCGTACAACCCGGCGGATGTACACAGTGTCTCAGGTGCTATTGTGTGTTTTTTAGTGAAATAACAAACATAACATAGTTATAAGTGGTAATGCAGTGTTAACTGAACTACCATAACATCTTTTGATTCTTAAGTCTTATGATCAACAGAAACAGTACTATTCATAATGATCTCTTTCAATAACTTCCACAAAATTTCATTTTATTCAATAATTTTTATCCCATTTATGCAGTGGAAATATTTGTTTTTTGTCAAATTCACCACTATCAAATGGAAAACCTACTGCAGTATCCATACATCTTATTTTATTCAGGTTTTGCTGTATGACCCCTTGTATTCTTGGTCATTAACCCCTGCCCAGTTATGCGCATTAGAAGCCAAACGTGCTGAAATTAATGCAACACTAGACAAGTCGAAATCACATTTTCCAGTGAATGATCAATGCACTAACATATCCAGATCTATGAATAAAGAAAATATTGGGATGAATGTACCATCAGCTGCAAACAGTAGCCATTGTCAGCAAGATGACTCTGAGACGAGAGAAAAAGGTAATTGAATGAATAGCAAAGATGTTTGTTCCGTTTCTCATATCACTTACTAACGTTCAAAATTTTCATCTTTCACCTTTATGCCCAATAATCTTTCTATACATTGTGTGAAAACGAAAACTAGTTATTGTGACGGTATTCAAAGCAATTATCGTGTCAGTTGAACTATCCAAACTGACTGCTACTGCTAACCAGATATCAATCTCACTTCATTACAGGTGATTAAAGCTGGTGTTTGTCTGTCTGCGCATACCATTGTAATGATGTGTCATGTTAACTAACTTTGTTATCACTACCACCACTTCCTAGCATCTCCCTCTACTTTAGATTGTTATCAGCAGTGTTGATTAATTTAAGGCAAGTTAAAACGCGCTAATAATATGTTTCATATTGCATAGATCATCTATGTCAGTTCTACTATATGCGAATATTTTAGTTACTACCTTTACATGCTTGTTGGACTGAATGGGTCACTGATGGTAGAAAACTACTGAATGGAGCAACGGAGATGCTAGCCGGTGTATGACAATCGAGGGTAGTCCCACCAGAAAAGTCGTTCAGTGACAATGATAGTGAAATCAATTTGACTATTATCATGTCTACAACCCTAGACTTCATGGTTAAGTTATTCGACGCCTAACTGAAACTCGAAGGCGCTACGCAGGTTTCAGACCTGAACGTGAGTACTTTGATCAAATCTGTACGCTTCGACAGATTTTAGAACACAGGTATAGTCACCTCTTCCTGACACTTCTCATATTCCTTGACTTAAGGGCAGCATTCCATGTGAAGTTAGTCATGGCTCTGTCTATAAACTGAGTTGAAGTCTATGGAGAAACGTCTTAGTAAGTAATGACGACCAGTAGTGTTCGCTAGAAAAGTACTGTCGTGATTCCTGTTTAACTTAGTTGTAGACGTACTAATGGATATAATTCTAGGTGTCTTCTACTACTATGAAAGCAAGTCTCTGGTTCCGACGTAGGGAAATAAGATAGTCTCTGACAAAATGCAATCTCCTGAACACGGATAAAAATCTTAATGTTTGCCACACGTCTTGCACCTATCAAATGTAAAACGATGCTTCATGACTGGTGTAGACCAACTCCTAGTGAAATGGTGGAATGGGTTCACCACTTTACTCATTTTGTGAGGTTACACCTCGAATGGGCGCTAGTTGCTGAAAGAATCTCAGTTCGGAGACAAACGTGTTTAGCAAATTACACTGTCTCTAATGGCAGTGGGGTATTTGAATATACATCACAGGATGAGTTTACTGTTTATCATTTCAGTCTGTCTTATTGTATAACTAACTATAGGACAAGGTCGTTGAAAGTGCAGTACTTAAGGAGTCTGTAAGTTGTTGACCGATGTCGCTCGATTTTTGTAGAATCACTGTGTGAGCAGTGTTGATGTTAGGCTTGATGCGCTAAGCAAGGGAATCAGGTCAGTCGGTGAATTTTTAAACCAACTGAGGTGGATTGAGCATACCGAGTCATCAACTACCTCAATGCGCAATGTTAACCTAAGTGACCTTTGATGGATAAAAGTGTGACGAGGTCAAGACTCAGCACCAGAGGATTAGTTCTTTTACCGATGGTCTGAGCCATGTAGGGAGGTGTAGACTACGTGACTGAGGTTGTCCGGACGATAGGAATCAAGACTGTTAGTGACATTACTGAAAATCGGTCACAATGGAGATGTAATTATCCTTTGTTAGAATTGCCTTGGTTGTGGCTGACAGTGGTATCCAGGTGACGAGTCCCAAACAGGACGAAACGCACTTCCTGGAACCCACCGCTAGCCACGACCAAGTCAGTTATAACAATAAATATACAGGCAATATCGAGGCATCCACATAGGAGTCCATATACCGATGAGTCGAATTACAAGTAACAAAAAGCACTAGTGTCCTTTGTTAGCTTCAAAGTTCAGAATATTTTCACTATTTGTTATGTATTTAATAAACTTTCTCCTCGCATTCACTTTTGAACACTTTAATTTCCACTCGTTCTTTGTATGCTGTTTTAGAGTGTAGCAGCGTGAACCACTGCACTTATGTGCCATGTTCTTCGTTGATTTTGTATTCTTTTGTGTAATCTTTTCCTTAAAATGAAACTTGGCGATTGGAAATTCAAATACGTACCGTCATGAATGGTCAAACTGACTGATTGCTTACAATAAAAGTGTGCATCTGATACCTTAAATTTTGCAGTTTCTGGGAAGGTCTTAGTGATAAGCTTGATAAATTCAATTTCTGTTATTGACTCCTAGGGGTTACATTCAAGCTCATGCCATGGCATTACAGAACTGAAAACCCTGATACATTCTAAAGCGGGAGGACTATTCCATTCTCATAATCTAAATTCCTGAATTTAAAACAATTCAGTTGTGTCGACAAGTATCTCCCGAATTATAGAAACTACATCACCTTTGATCTATTATAGATTTGTGTTAATTCATCTTCAAGGACTATCAAGTGTTATAGGTACATAGGTTTATTAGGGAGTCATATTACTGAATGCTCTGCATATGATCATTTTATTTGTGTTAGCTTTGTTATAAGCACGGTTGAACGCTGATCGGTTTATAATGCAAATGACGTAGTAACTCAGGAAAACGGTTACCACTGCATTGCAGTGATGGTATTTCACAAACACAGTGATTGACTAGGACGTATTGATGAGACCAGCCTTCCTTTATAGCATTCAGTTTAGCCTCACTGCGTTTCATAAGGGGAATACAGTCAAGACTAACCGGAATAAATTCTAGATATGCAAATCTTTCTACATCTTGAGATCAGCGTCTTATCGAATACCTCTTTGAATGCTACTCAATGGTGAATGGACGAGATAGTGAGGGCACATACTCATCATAAAATAACTCAAGTGATGACTGTTTTTATGGGAAACAGTTGGTTTTTAGACAACAGTCAAACGCTAACTCTATACTTATATTTTTAAGTATCTTAGGATGATGCTTAGAAGTTACGCTTATTCATAAGTTAAATTACAACAGGTAATGAATGATATTGCTATCTGGTTGTACTGAAATGAACTGTAGTATACAAGTAAAACTCTAAGAATAAAAAGCAGTGCTAGAAACTTAGAGTCTTCAGCATGTTTAATCTTTAGTTGGCCATTTTCTCTAATCAATGTTAACAGAAACTTGACTTCCTAGTTTACGGCATCTAAGATATTGCGAAATGAAATTATTGTTGTTCTAAGCTTTCGCTGTTATATCTTTCTCATGGCTTCAGTTGACTTCCTTTCAGATGGGTTGATTGACGAAGGTGAAACAGAATCAGCGACCTCACCTTGGATGGCAGGCAGCAACATCTGGGTTTTGAGATAGTAGAAAAGATTTGTAACTCAGGATGAGGATGATGATAATAATTATTTAGGGCTCTCCGAGCTTGAGGTTCGCTCTTGGACGATTTTACGTATACTCCTAGTACCATCGCATGGTCATATTTTCTTCGTAGGTTTAAGGAAGTTCAGAAATCTATGCACAGTCCTTTGAGTCACTGTAGATTGTTACGGGGAATAATTTATCGTCGGTGACATTTGCCAGCCCTTTAATCGTACACTGCTTCTACAGATGATGTCAGTAAACCTTTCCACGAACACCTTATCCGATTACTTATTATTTTAATACGGTAGTCACATTAAAGACATCATCCCGATTCAAAGTAAGTGCGATTTCTAGTATTTTATGTGCATTCAGTTGACCTGAGCTACTGATTACTTAAATTAGATGTTAGTAGTCACGATTAATCTGTCGATTTTTGCTTAGATGCACCCTGTTAGTATTGATGTTTTACCAAAACTTTGTTCTTTTCTTCTTGACTAAATTGTTTCCTAGATTCGCTCCATATAGTATAAGCTTTAAAATATCGCAGAATAATAATTTGATGAGTATTTTGCAAAGTTTCACTGGAAGTCATTTCTCAGCTACACATAAGTTGTTTGCATATTTGAAGTGGTTTGCTGAATATTGCATGAATTGTCTTTCATCCTCAAAGTTATTGACCGAAAGGTATACAAGTATACTCACATACATTTCAATTCACTAAACATAACTGATGTATCTCAAAAATGGACTAGATTGTAACGAACATACTAATCACGCTATTAAATGCTGAATGAAAGTGTTTTCATCTACTTGGAGGTTGTCGATCTGACATTTACATAGCACTGTGGACTTCCTGTTGATTTAAAGCAAATTAACACGATCGATACTTAAGAACTTGGAATCAACTCATTTAAAATAAAAACTGTCTACTGTCATGCAAGTATGATTGTTGACATGAATTGGCAATATCTGAAACGCGAAACTAGTGTCTGCTTCATTTTTTATTTGCTTTAATCCATTTTCTTTGCAGAGCAAGTTAATCAACTTGCTGAACGTGTTCTCCTCGATGTGAGAAGTAAACTTCAAGGTCTTGTCAGTGGGAACTTAGTTACTAATTCATCGAATGAAGTTCCAAATACTTGTAGTAATGCCGGCGGCGGACTTGATCAACTCGATGTTTCTGGACATATTGGTTTACTAGTACATGCAGCCACAGATCCTTCGAATTTGTCAAGAATGTATTTTGGTTGGCAAGCTTATCTATGAATTAAAATAACTTGCATTCAGTTTTTTAGGTTGTACTTAGTTACTTTGTTTTCATCTATGCTACCATTGAAACCATGTAATCATTGGCTATATGTTTTCTTGGTGATAAGAAGTTCAGTTTATATTTTTCTAAATGTACTTGTAAATTTCAGATGTTGAGAACTTATTACCTCAATTAAAGACTGTAAATAATATATCATGAATTTTTTCGTCATGTTATTTGTTGCATTCATGCTTCCATGTCGGTAGTATTAACTGTTTACTGTCAACCAGCTTCCTTCCGTTAACCCAACTAAATAGTACAATTGATTCACAGTTTATTACCATAACTTGACTTGAAGTGTATTTTATTTGCCAATTATGAGCAGTACTGAAAAGAGGGTTGGTGAAACGAGTCAACACTTCTCTCTGGCATGTAAATATACTGTATTATGTATAAAGTAGTTTGGACCCATCTGTACAAAATTACTGCGTTTGACTATTTCTAGTCACTACATTATGGTTATCAGAACTCGAACAAACAATCTCGATAACATACATTGTTGCAAATTATTCGAATCACCGTAGGACTCTTTATCATTCGTAATCTTGACCTGTTGCAACCCTAACACGTTGAAAACACCAGTTATCGTCTGTACGGCCTGTTGCACAGAGTGGAAAATTTGGAGGTCTTGGTTTCTGATAGAGCTTCACTTCGTGATGATCAACTGTCTTAAAGTTACACAATGCAATACGCTCTTAAGTCAGCGATATTACCCCTGATGCGTGCATAAATGTGTACCATCCCTGCCCTGATCATTTTATATCCCCGTGTAGTCCTATATTCCTTTTTTTCAGCGATCGCAGAACTCTATCAAATTACACTTTCCTTACATAGGTTGGTGATATCGCGAAAATGGTAGTCAGTGAATAAGAGGGATAAAAATATAACAAACTCAGCAATCATGCTCAGATTTGTAGCATAACTTTCTTTCCTCGGACTGCACATCATTCCGCTTTGTTCTACTGTATGTCTGTGAATCATCACTATTGAAGGTGAAGACATGAGAAGACTTCACGTGTTTGATCACCGTCGCCTTCGTAGTATAAGCCGTATTCCGTGGTGTCACCACGTGAGTAATGCAGAAGTCGGGTGTAGAGTTTTAGGGCGAAAGAGGTAAGTCAGTTGACGAGATTGTGAACTTTCATCGACTGAGATGGTTGGGACACGCGTTACGTATGTCTAGTCGCTGATTGCCTCGTCACACAATGTTGGCCGAAGTAGGTTCAGGCTGGCCCGAGGCCCGATGCGGCCAGATCAAAATATGACATCGATGTATGAAGTCTTACTGTTGGTTTGAACCATGTGGGGCGATGCGGACTAGCCGGTTGGGGTCTGCGGGACAAAAGGAACCAGTGAGTGGTTGCAGAATCTAAGTGATATGGCTCAGAACCGTTGTCAGTGGCTCGGATGTATACACGCACTATCCTCATCTTGACGACGCTATACTGAATCTCACCATTTTCTCATTCTTCCTTTCTCTCTTTTAGTACTTTATGTTTTTTTGACTGAATTTCTTTTCTTCATCTTACACTTCACTGCCTTTTTACTTGATGTATTGATATGAGGTGTGGCAACTCGGACCGTTACTCAGTGATGCATGGTCCTACATTGATTCGGATGGATAAATCCTTCCTCGTATGGTTTAGGTAATGCCTTACTGGATCGTTAGTCCGTGATGACAAAAGAAAGCCGAGTAACATTCTTTATTGCTTGGAAATGAAAGCTACTAAATATGGTAAGTGATTATGTGGTAACTTTGTGAGCAAATAGTTGGTCAGTTTAAAAAGACCGAAACACACATCCATCTTTTATAGTTAGTTTCCGTCATCAGTTGACTGGACGTATATTGCACTATTCTGAAATGGTCGGTCAGTATCAACGTGGGTTTGTGTAATGGTCCAAGGGACCACACTTTACACCAGGATTTGGACAGCAACACAAAAGGGTAATATGATAATAAGTTATTAGAAGCAAACAGAAAAATGTGTGTTGTGGCTGTTAACAAATTTTTTTCCTTGGGTGTCTAGTGGAACATAAGGCTTCAGTAGCACGTCTCCATTGCATTCTCTCCTCTCTCTCTCTCTCTGCAGTCTTCTCAACCTGGCTCCACCACTGCCCAGAAGCTCTCATTTCTTCCTCACACGATCTCTTCCATGTGACCCTCAGCTTGGACGCCCAACTCGTCGTTTCCCCTTTGGTTTCCACTCGACGACCTGACCTGGTGCATGATGTCCCCAATTGGTCTTCTCAGTGTGTGCCCAATCCAATCCATCTCCACTTCCTTCTGCATATTTGTTGAGCGATGGGATTTTCATTGGTCAGCTGCTAGTCAGTCAGCCAGAGTTCCTTGTTACTTATTCTCACTATTCTGGCCATCTGATATGTTCTTCAGTATCGAGTGAGCGTAGGCGGCAGCTGTTGATGAAGTATGTCTGTGGTTTGTTGGAAATGCTTTTCGTGACACGCCAAGTCTCTGAACCATCACATAGAAGCACTGACTTACTTGACATTAGTGTTGAAGATCCGGATCTTGTTCACACTGTATGCTGAGTGGAGTGGAGTGGAGTGCAGTGCAGTGCAGTAGATCTCTATACTGATTTCAGGTTACTGAAAGCCTGTCTCGCTGTTTTTCCAATCATGGCTGCCGTAACATACTCGTTTGTGCCTGTGTCGCTTGTAGTTGAAACGATGCTGTCCTGCCTAGGTAGGTGAAAGTGACAACTTTCTTTGAGTTTCTCCGTTGGTTGGTGATTGGTGCTTGCTGTTGATGCTGTTGTTGGTTGGATATCTTCATCACCTCCGTCCTCTCTACATTCACTTGAAGTCCCGTTTTCTCTGCCCTGCCTCTTCTGTCAACTTGTTGGTTTTCGCCTGTAGATCTTCGAGTTTGTGCGACAAGACATTAGACATAAATTATCTGAGGCGAAATCCAAATCTTCTTCTGTGGTCTTTCTATCGGTTCGACCAGCGTATGCCCCTCGTCTAGCCCCTCAGAGTAAGCTGCATGATGTATTTCAGTCGACGACAACCAGGAAGATCATGGGTGATGGTAGGCGGCAGCCTTGTCTTACTCCTGTCTTCACTGAGCTTTCCGTTGAGAAACACTTGACATGTAGCATCATATAGCATCTAGCTGCTGTTGAATGAGGTTGATAAAGGTTTGTGGCACTAAAACCTCAGTGTTGGAGCAGCAGATGCCAAATTACTTCTCGGTCAACACTGTGGAAGGCCTTTTCAGTGTCGATGAAGTTGAGGTTGAGTTGAGTTGACTGCCATTCTGTGCTCTGTTGTATGATGATGCTTAGCGTAGCGTTGCAATTTGATCGGGATATGATTTGTTCTTCCTGAAGGCAGCCAGCCTGTTTGTGTGGTAATTTTGAATCCAGTGCATCGTTTGGTCTCGCCAGGATGATGTGGCTTAGTGTTTTGCTTAGGGTGGACAGGAGTGAAGCATGATTCCGTGCCAGTTCTTTCAGAGATTTAGGTCTCCCTTGTTTGGGAGTTTGATAAGGTAGCCCTTCTCCCAATCACTTGGCAGGTACCCTTCTTTCCCTCCTTGCAAACCTTGTGTGCTCCCATGTATACGTGGAGATGCATTCCTTGTCTTCTTTCCTCTTCCCTCCTAACACGGTTATACAAGTTTCTTTCCACATAGCTTTCAAAGAGTTCCAGTGTTGTTCCACACAGGTTTCCTCAGGGATGTTGCCTTATGTCCCCCATTTTGTTCTGATGGCTGAGGTGAAGATGTCCTTTACAGTTTTGTCCTTCAGTTTCTGGTTGTTGAACTTGAACTGTGGTTGATCATCACCAACTTCTGTGAAGGCTTTCCACTTGATTTTGAAGGTAGGTTCCTTGCACTAGATAGTGAAGTGAGTGGTGTGAACCTACATTTGCTCCTCTTCGTGATCTGATCTTGTGTCGAGTAGGCTGACTGCGTCTCCATTTTCTTGAGATTGAGATGAAGTCGATCTGATTTTTAGTGTAGTGTGTCCTGGTGTCTAGTGAAATGAGATCCATGTCACTGCCTTGTAATATCCTTGTGTTTGTACAGACTGCCTGGCCTGCAATCACGAAATCGTTGAATGCTCAGAAGTCTGCAAACAGTTCTCCATTGTTTTTGATCATTTCAGCGGGTGCTCTCGACCCATGATGAGTTAGTTCTCTTTGTGTGTTGTCCGCTCGTAGTTTTGCATTCATGTCACCCATTAGAATGAGTTTTGATGTGGCCATCTAGGGTGTTGTGTTTTCCACTAGTGATTGGAGTTGTCTGTAGAATTCCTCCTTCTTCTCTTGATCTGCATAATTTGTAGGTGCGTATCGTTGCATTGTATGATTGTGATTTTCCTTCCTTTTGAGTTGAATCTTTCTGTCATGATCCTGGTTTCCACTGCATGAGAGACAGCCTTCGGTGCTGTTGGGGACATCATGATAGCCACTGAATAACTCAGTGTACTTGTGGTTGTCGTCTGGGTGAGAATATCGGAGTAGATTATTGACTCTTCAGTTGCGAGTTTTGAGAGTCCACTTCCATTACATCTGCTTTTGGGGATTTCTCGCACTTCTATGCTATACCTTCTCATCTTGTTTGCAATCTGGGTAGCCTTTCTAGGTTCAGATATGGTGCGTATACTCCATGTTCACCTTTGCTTTCATCGAGGGAGAGAAGACACATCGGCCAATTGGTTTGTCGAAGGCTTTTGCCAACCGACGTCGTTTGGTCTCCTCGATTCTTTCGAGGAGTAAGTTAATTTTAATTTTTTATATTTTCTTTGTGCATTGAAGTTTCTTTGGTGATTAGACTGGTTTTGTGGGTGTAGGGTTGCTAGCCCTATGCCCAACGTTCCCTCTTTATCCGGGCTTAAGACCGGCTAGTAACTAGTAAACTAGGCGAGGTTACAGGGCCGAATTGGTCGACTTTTATTGTCAGAAGGGCTTTTATGCGGATGCCTCGTTACTACCGGATACTCATAATGTTATATGCATCTTGGTGACTGACTAGCAGAGGAATCCACAACGCGCGTTTCACACTATTCTGGACTGTCAGCAATATGTACCTGGACCCCAGTGATTGATATTGTTCCCACTGAGGCTCAAACCCAGTACCTATCGCTTCACAATAGTGCCTCAGTGGTTTGGTGGATAATGGTCGGCATTCGAAGCGAGACTATGTA